ATAACTTTAGTCTTTATGTATTCCTCAGTTGATGGCCAGGTGACATTATTCCTCTGATTTTTTGCCTTTGTAACATGCTCAAAGTAATGTTTAATTCTTCAGATTATGAGGTCTGTAATAAACTGAAATGAAATTTTTTTTAAGAAGAAAGTATTTTCTCAGCAGCACCCTCCTTCTTGTGAATGCTATTGGGAAGACCTTGAACAGGGTGCAGTGGCGAAAATTTTAATTTCAGAGATCCAAAATAGTGAATAAGCCCCCCTCTTGGTTGTATAACATACTCAGAGTTACCATGGAACGCACTTGTTAGTAGTATTATAAATAAATATTATTTCCTTTCTCCCTTCCTTTATTACCTAATGTATAGCTTAAACTCCTACTAAATTCTATAATTTACTTCACTTTTATCTGATTCTAGGAATTAGCCAAATGTCTCAGCAACCTTGAGGCAATTCCCAAAGTCTTTATTATCAGTCCATGAATAATAAAGGTTGTTGTTGTCCAGTCACTAAGTCATGTCCAGCTCTTTGCAATCCCATGAACTGCAGCACTCCAGTCTTCCCTGTCCTTCACTCTCTCCCGGAGTTTGCTCAAATCCATGTCCATTGAATCGGTGATGCCATGCAACCTTCTCATCCTCTGTCATCTCCTTCTCCTGCCTAATCAATAACAAAGGTATTATGGACGTTTACTTCCCTGATAGCTCTGTGATAAAGAATCTGCCTGCCAGCGTAGGAGACCCGGGTTTGATCCCCAGGTCGGGAAGATCCCCTGGAAAAGGAAATGACAACCCATTCCGGTGTTCTTGCCTGAGAAATCCCATGGGAGAGAGGAGCCTGGCAGGCTACAGCCCATGGGATCTCAAAAGAGTCAGATATGACTTAGTGACTAAGCAGCAACAGCCATACGTGTGTGTGCACACAGAAAAACTCAATTATACTAATAACAATGGAACCATCATCATACAGAGCACAATGAGGAGTTACCAAAAAAAAGAACTGTGAATAAGTTCTATGTCTTTTTAGTATAGAGCTGCTATCTAAACTAAAGCAAAGCAGTTTTGCTCAAATCCCTTAAAACCCTTCCTTAATTCTCCTTCACCTAAAGGAATCAAGTGCAACATTCTTAGTGTAGACCTACTGTCGTCTCCCAAGGGGCAGTCCACTCTTGGAGTCCACTAAGGATCACATGAAACTCCGTACCAATAATGTCCAGCTTTGCCCAACTGGTGACCTCCTATTTATTCTTTGAGACTTAGTTCAGAATTATTATCCCCCTAGGAACTTTAATTACATAGTCCACCGTCTCTGGCTCAAGTTACTCTGTGCTTTATTCATATTTCTATCATAATTTTCATCAGGTTCTATAATCCACTTACTTGAGAACTTGAGGGCAGAAGTTCTGTTTTATTTATCTCCATGTTCCCAGTGCTGGATTCATAGTAACTTCTTGATAAATGTTTATCATTATAATGAGTCATTCATTTGACTGTTTCCCCCCACCGCTTTCTTGATGTTCATTTTGTCTGCTTGGAAGTTATTTTTAAACAGAGCTCAGGGAATTTTCAAGTTTGTAAGGCCAAATTCTTTTAAAATCTCACAGCAATCCTGGGTATTCTAGAGGTAGTAACCTCGCATTTAATCCCCAGTTCAGACGCGACAGGACTGTGTCCCTGAGCTCCTGCAGAAAGCAAGACCTGCATTTATCTCTCCTCCCCATCTTGCTACAAACCAGTCACCTGTCATTCTCTGAATGTTCACCTTTGTCCTTGGAGTTTGCTCTTGAGTAGCTTAAAGGAAATCACTCTTCAGAGGGAAAAATAAATAAGACCAAAACAATCCAAAAGACCCAGACATTCTTGGTGAAAGATATTGATCAACTCCCCTAACCGAAGCTGGATAATCTCCAGAAAATGGAAACATCAATGGAAAAATAGATACTGCAAGGCACCATGGGAATATGGCAGTGACAGAGGAAAGGTTACGTCAAGGAGGGGCCAGAGTTCTTCATTCCGGTGTTTTAGGTCTACAGGCTCTTAGGTTTGCCTGGAGCACAAGGACTGACTTATATTCTTTCTGTCCCCCTCCCAGGGGGCGCTAATGGTAAAGAATCCACCTGCCAATCCAAGTAGACATAGGAGATGCGGCTTTGATCCCTGGATCAGGAAGATCCCCTGGAGGAGGGCACGGTAACTCACTCCAGTATTCTTGCCTGGAGAATCCTGTGGACAGAGAAGCCTGGCGGGCTAAAGACCATGGGGTCGCACAGAGTCAGACACGACTGAAATGACTTGGCATGCACGCACGCACACTCTCCCAGCACCAGACGGCCATAGAAACTAAGATATGGTACTCACAGAAGACTCACCATGCAAAGGAAAGTAGCAAGTCTCTAAACTAAGCTTTTTAGGTCGAGAGAAAAAGGAAAAATGAGTAAGAAGAGCAAATGGCAACAAAGGAAAAACTTCACTACTCAACAGAACTGACTAGCAGAAACTACAGAGAGAGATTTAAAAATCTCTATTAATGGCATGTGGATAAATCTACACGTTAGCCTCTGAACTGTTACCAGCAAATAATTTGAGAGTGATATGAACATTAACAATTTTTTTAGGTAGAAAAAACCAATACCTTGACATCAGGTAGGTGGGAGGGGGCAGAGAAAAAGGGTGCGAAGTCCACGTGCAGACTTGTGCAAGCTTCCGAGAGATGGGAGCTGGCAGGGCTGCAGACCCGGAGGAAGGGAGGAGGAGGGGTGGGTGCTAGAATGGACCGGTATTTGGGGAGTAATGGGTGGATCATTTCTGACTTCAGAGAGACATAGTGATTTTCTTATAAAACGAATCAGTTCTATGAAAGAAGGGGGAAATCTGATCTAGTTATTTTGCCCAAATAACTGGGTCAACATCTGAGCCATGGCCAAACTGACTCCAAGTGACCTCAAACAAAGGACCTTAACTCCTTGGGATAACTTTCCTTAGGATCAATATGGACTTTCAAAATCCTAAGGTTTTAGGTTTTAGGGTAGGAATATGAAAATTTCTCCCATAATTTCCCCAAGTGAGGAAGAGCCGTTCTAGTAGACACTTTGGGAATCCTTCCCCAAACATCTTTTATTTGTTTGTTTGTTGTTGGCTGTCCTGGGTCTTTGATGCTGTACAGGCTTTTCTGTATTTGCGGCAAGCAGGGGCTACTCTCTCGTGGTGGTGTGTTGATTTAGTGCGGTGGCTTCTCATAGTGGAGCACGGGCTCTAGGGCGCGGGCTCAGTAGTTGCAGTTCCCCGACTCTAGAGCACAAGCTAAAGAGCTGTAGCACGTGGGCTTCATTGCTCCACGGCATGTGGAACCTTCCCGAATCAGGGATCGAACTCACACCTCCTGCATTGACAGGCGGAGTCTTCACCACTGAGCCACCAGGGAAGCCCTCCCAAACATCTTTTGATCTTGCCTGATGCCCCCTGAGCAATGAGAAGTAACAGGCTACTGCAAACTTAACACAGCACCAGGATGTGAAAAAGAACAGGATTGCAGTTCCCCCACCAGGGCTGTATGACCTTGGGCAAATCTCCGGGTTTTAGCCAGCTCCCTACTCTGCAAAAATAAGTAAATAAAGAAAGAAAGAAAAGAGTCGAACCTAGCGGGAGAAGGAATGAATTAATGATTGTTAAGCACCTTGGAAACCAAAGTGCTATTTAAATGCAAAATAAACTGCAGGATAACAAGTTCACTTTGGCTTCAGGGAGAAGTACTGTCAACTGCAGGAGCCATTAAAAGTCACAGGCTATAAAGTAGGCAGTAAAGTGGGCTTTGTTCAGCTTTGCCCTGCAGAATCGTATAACCTTGCCTGAAATTCACTGTTAATCCCAGTTCGAGAGTGATCAGACACAGATCAGACCAGAAAAGCCCAGGCCACTCAAGAGGAGAACTCTGCCTGCCCCAGCGCTAACCTACCCTCATTCCCACCAGGGTCCCTCATCCATTCACTCCCACCGGGCTCCCTCATCCCACACGGTCTCCCACATCATCACCCACGCGGTCCCGGGTGCTGCTGTGTGTGACATCACTCCACGTAAACAGCCCAGTGAAGGGGGCGTCAACATTACCCTTTCAGAGGCGGACTCAACGCTTAGTCCAGTTAAATAACTTGCCTAACATCACACAACGCATTAAGTGCAGAGGCAGGAGATGAAGGAGGTCTGCCTTGTGGCCTGCCTTTCTGTGCCAATGACAAGCTTGTATCTCTGCCTCCCGTCCTATCCCCTCTAATCCACTCTGGTCCCCTGAAAACACTAGTGCGGCCTATGATCGCTGGGTTACTGCAGCACTTGGAGCAGACTCCTGACAAAACAAAAGAGAGCATCAATTTCTTTTATTTCCACAGCTTCTTATGGAACTTCCTGATTTGCTTGAAAGTCTCTGGACTAGAATTTAGGGAAGGGGAGTAGATATATATTTTTTGCTCTGTGATATCATCCTTAACTTCTAACCCTGTGGAGAATGTATTGAAAAAGGAAAAAGTCATATCTGACTCTGGTGACCCTATGGACTGTGGCCCACCAGGCTCCTCTGTCCATGGGATTCTCCAGGTAAGAATACTGGAGTGGGTTGCCATGCCCTCCTACAGGGGATCTTCCCAACCCAGGGATCAAACCCAGGTCTTCTGCATCACAGGCAGTCTCTTGCATTGCAGGTGGATTCTTTATTGACTAAACTACCAGGGAAGCCCCATATATTCCTGAAGTCAGTCTAAAATGTTAGCAGGTTATCTAACCTCCAATGAGCTCCTCCTATTAATTGACTAGAAAATACCATGTTCCCAGGTAATTAGCAACAACTGATAAACTTCAGAAGGGGTCAGATGGGCCCTTCAGATTGCCCCTGAGGACTTCAGACAGCTCTGGCCACTATAATGCAAAGCCCGGATAGATTAGAACTTGGAGAATTCTGTCATCACACAGGACTGTGGTCAGTGTGCCTTCAGGAGAATGTTCTCCTTGGTGACCTGGTGAGAGACCCTTTCCCTCCATGGGAACTAGGGGTGAAGGGTTTGGAGGAGGCATCTGAAGGAGCCAGAGTCATTTTAAATCATCAGTGTCACGTATTTTTAAGAGACGGAGGAGGCATCTGTGAGTGTTCCTTGGAAAATATGGCCATTTGTTGGCTACCTGGGAAGGGAATAAAGTAAAAGGATTAGGTGACCTGGAAACAGCTGGGCCAGGTAAGGACAGATGGCAGAGGGGTCTGTGGCCCTTGGGGAGGGCAATGAAAACCTAGACAAGAGGACAGACAAAACCAAAAGGTGGGAAGGAGTAGCGTGGTGCTGAGTGGCTGGGGAAAGGAGCAGAAGAGGAAGATGAATCCCAAATGGCAGATGGGAAAAGGCAACAGCTGCTACAGTGCCAAAGGAAAAAAAGGAAGAAGCCGCAGTTTCAGAGACCAAATGACAAATAGAGCAGGATCTCTATAATGGGCTAAGAGAACTATCCCATTATCAACAGAGTTCCTAGTGAATGGAGAAACAACACTGTCCTGATTAAGGTTCTCACTTAGGACTTCCCTGGCAGTCCAGTGGTTAGACTTCACCTTCCAATGCTGGAAGCTGCAGGTTTGACTCCTCATGCGGGAGTTAAGATCCCACATGTCTTGCAGCCAAAAAACCAAAACATAAAAAAAAGAAGAAGAAGAAGCAATATTGTAACAAATTAAAGACTTTTTTTAAAAGTGCTCTCATTTATGAATATTGACACCATACTGGGGCTGCTACTATGCTCTATCATTTAGCTTTCAGAACAGCCTTGCTGGATAGGTACCCTTATACCCATTAGATGGATAAGTAAATCCATCTTTGGAGGAGAAAAGGCTGAGTTCCCAGGAACACAATGTAGCCTAAAATAGGAACCTGTCAGAGAAGCCCAGGAGCAAGGAGGAAAGCAATTTGATGGGAGAGAGAAGGGGTGTAAACTCTGTGACCCAACCTCAGTGAGACAGAGAGGGCAAGGAGAGCTAATGCAGGGCCTGGAGACAAAGGGAGTGCTCGTCGGGGAGGCTTCCAGGCCTCAGCTGGGCAGCCTGAGCGCTCTGATTCCACACGAGTGATGCAGAAAGCTGTCATGAAATCAGCTCACCCTGAAATGAAGCGTAATTGTTCTAACAGAACCATTGACATGTTCTAGCCAGGAGCAAGAGAGCTTTGTTATCAGATGATTGACTAGGGTAAAGAAAACTCCAGAGAAGCAAGAAAACAAAATAAGGGTCAAGGAGATCAGGCCAAAAAAAGGAAACTTTTTTTTTTTAATTAGATAAAATGGACCAATTGCTCTTTTTTCCAAAGTACTGTTTGGAGGTTAATAATGAGGAGAGTGCCCAAGATGCAGCCCAAGATGTGAATCCCAGAGTAGCGATGCTGTGGGACTGTGGCGTGGTACCAATCCAGAGGGACCCTTACAGTGAGGGGCCAGAACACGGTCCCCCCCCAAGCCCTGTGTTTCGCTAAGGTCATGCAGTCTAGGAGTTTAGAGCTGTGTGTTTCAGACTCAGTTCTTCCACTCACTAGCCGTGTAATCCAGAGCAGTTTACCTCATTTCTACAAGCATCAACTTGACTATCTGAGAGTGTACTAGTTATCCATCGCTGTGTAACAAATCACCCCAAAACTGAGCAGCTTGGAACAACACTAGATATTTGTTATCTCTCAGCCTCACTCTGGGTCAGAAACTGGAGAGCTGAGCAGTTCTGGTTCAAGATGGTTCGTGGGGCTGGTGGCACACGTGGTAAAAGAAGCTGCTTGCAATGCAAGAGACTCGGGTTTGATCCCTGGGTCAGGAAGATCCCCTGGAGAAGGAAATGGCTGCCGACTCCAGTATTCCAGCCTGGAGAATTCCACGGACAGAGGAGCCTGGTGGGCTGCAGTCCACGGGGTCACAGCTGAGCAACTAACACTCTCACTTTTCAGTGATCTGAAGGCCTGAATGGAGCTAGAGGATTAAGGACCCACATCTCAGAGGCCTCACCTGGGCTGTTCACAGGGGGCCTCAGCTCCTCTACATGTGGCTGCTTCATCAGCCTGTTGAGTGTCCTCACGTGGCCACTGGCTTCTCCCAGAGTGGGTGATTCAAGACAGAGAGCCACACAGAAGCCGGAGCCGCTTTATGGCCCAGCCTCAGAAATCACATTGCAAAACTTCCACCACATCCATTTGCCAGGAGAGAGTAGTAAGCCTGACCCACCCTGAAAAGGAGGGAAATCAGGCACCATGATTTGAAGGGAACAGTGACAAAGAATTTGTGGACATATTTTAGCATCAGCCCAAGCACCTTTCTTCACACTACATGTATTTACTGTGCACACACTGTATGGTAAATACCATATTAATGCTGGATTTGCCACCAATGATAAGAATTATTCCTGTCCTCAGGGACTTCATAGGGCACTTGAAGAATACATATAAGCGTTAAACCCTTCACACTGAATAGGATGCTACTATAAAAAAAAAATCTAGAAATAACAAGTGCTGGCAAGGATGTGAGAAAAATCAGAACCCTGTGCACTGCTGGTGGGAATATAAAATGGTATAATTGCTATGGAAAACAGTATGGAGGTTCCTCAAAAAATTAAAGAATTATCCTATGATTTAGCCATCCCACTTCTGGATGTATATCCAAAAAAATTGAAAGCAGGATGTCAAAGATCCTTGCACACGTACGTATTCATTTTCATCACAGCACTACTCAAGATAATGAAGAGATAGAAGCAGCCCAAATGTTCATCGATGAATCAATAGCCAAACAATATTATTTACAACAAAATATTACTCAGCCTTTAAAAAGAAGGGAATTCTGTTAAATGCTACAACATGGATGAACCTTGAGCACACTATGCTGAATGAAATAAGCGAATCAGGAAAAGACTTTGTATGAGCATCTGAGGTAGTCAAATTCATAGAAACAGTAAATGAATGGTGGTTGCCAGGGGCTGGGGAGAGGAAGGAAAGGGGAGCTTTTGTTCAGTGGGTCTAGAATTTCAGATTTGCAAGAAGAAAGAGTTCAGGAGCTCTACATCACAACAATGTGAATATGCTTACCACTGAACTGTACATTTGAAAATGGTTAAGATTGTAAATTTTGTATTATGTGTTTTGTACTAAATTAAAAAAAAAAGAAAGAGGAAAAAAAAAAAAAAACAAGTACAGAGCTGTCCTTCTGGTCTAGTGGTTGAGAGTATGAGGGACTCAGGTTCGAGCCCTGGTCTGGGAAGATTCCATATGCCTCGGGGCAGCTGGACTTGGGGGCCACAACCACTGAGCCGTCAAGCCCTAGAGCCTGTGCTCCATCGGAAACAAGAGAAGCCGCCACAATGAGAAGCCCAAGCGCGGCCACTAGAGAAAGCCTGCGCACAGCTGCAAAGACCCAGCACATCTCAAAATAAAAAAAGCATAGTTAGTTAGCCATGTCTGACTCTTTGTGACCCCATGGACTGTAGTCCACCAGGCTCCTCTGTCCATGGGATTTCCCAGGCAAGAATACTGCAGTAGGTTGACATTTCCTTCTCCAGGGGATCTTCCCAACCCAGGGATGGAACCTGGGTGTTCTGCATTGCAGGCAGATTCTTTACTATCTGAGCCAGCAGGGAAGCCCTAAATAAAGCATAGCTGCATTTTTGAACAACAGAGAGAGCCAAGTACAAAATAGTAAGCTACTGGGTACTATTGGACCATGTAGTAAAAGTTTTCCTGGAAGAGGTGTCTTCCTAACTGTGCCCTAAGAGCCTGTGAAGGCAAGTAAGGTTTCCAAGCAGGCGGTGCCATGTCTTCCAAACATAGCCATGACTCATAAATGAGTCACAGAATCAACATGGGGGTCCTGACCAGCATTTTCACTTAAATGGACTAGAACAGCATGTATCAGCGTGAATTGCATGCCAAGAGGATCTTTTTGTAGAGCTTCTGTTTAATTTATCTGAGTATCTATGTATATCTATGAGGTGAGTAACAAGTTATGATGTAAAATACATTGCTTACTGTGGGTGGATTAAAAAACCCCTTGCAAGCTCCTGGATTAGAGTATACGCTAGAGAATATATGTGAGAAATAAGGCTGCAAAGGTACGTCAGCCAGAACAGAGGACAAGTGACCTCACAGTGACCCCCAAATTTCAGGGACTTAGAACAAGGGTCCAGTTCTCCCTAACGTGACTTGTCCAATGAGAACTAGCGGGTGGCCAGCTTATTTCGTATTCACTCCAGGAGCTGGTAGATGGTAGAAATAACCTCTACGTGGAACATTACTGGTCTCCTGAGGGAGGGAAAGTGAGCTGTACATTAAACTTCTGCCTGGAAGGGCCATTGCTGCTCACATTTCATTGGCCAAATCGAGTCGTGTGGCCAAGCTTGACAGTAAAGTGGCAGAGAAGGTGGAATCCTCTCCCCACCCCCACAGGAAGGGACAGTTGATGGTTAACAATCACACGGTCGGCCCTGAGAGTAGAAGGCGGGGGAGGAGCCAGTGAAGGTGCGCCTTATAAATGACATCAGGATGCTCAGGATTTCTCCTGAGGACAGCGATGATTCACGGAAGAGTTTTAAGCAAGGTGAGCACATTGGCTCTTTAGAAAGCTCCCTGTGTCAGCAGCATGAGAGCGGGTTGGGAGGAGGCCTCAGGAAACCAGTGAGGTTGGTCTTCTCCGCCAAACCAACTGTCTTGCTAAAGCAGCGAAGGGCCAGCTCTTCCCTCCCTGAAGGTGATAAACCTCAAAGCCCCATCTCAGAAATTCAAGGTCAAGAAACATGACATAAGGAACAAATTAGGGGCCTCCATTTATTACTAGCTCAGAGAGCAGTCCCTTTACAAAATGGAATGTTCAGGCCCTGTGTGATGATGTGATAATATATGTGTATTAGTGGGAAATTATATGTGTGTGTGTGTGTATGTACACACACATATAATGTGTGTGTGTGTGTGTGTGTGTGTGTGTGTGTGTGTGTGTGTACATATGCGGGCTTTCCTTGAGGCTCAAGTGATAAAGAATCCGCCTGCAATGCAAGAGACCTGGGTTCAATCCCTGGGTTGAGAAGATCCCCTGGAGAAGGGAAAGGCTACCCACTCCGGTATTCTGGCCGGGAGAATTCCATGGAATGTATAGTCCACAGGGTCACAAAGAGTCAGACACGACTGAGGGACTTTCACTTTCACATACATATGCATGTAGGGCTTCCCAAGTGGTGCTGGTGGTAAAGAACCCACCTGCTACTGCAGGAGAAGCAAGAGGCGCAGATTTGATGCCTGGGTGGGGAAGATCCCCTCGAGGAGGGCATGGCACCCCACTGCAGTACGCTTGCCTGGAGAACTTCATGGGCAGAGGAGCCCAGCAGGCTACTGGAAGGTGATATTGACGCTTTTTCCTTTTTTTCCTTTCAAATAGGAGAAACCTAAGCCAAAGTTTAAATTCTGATGGGAAGNTTTCACTTTCACATACATATGCATGTAGGGCTTCCCAAGTGGTGCTGGTGGTAAAGAACCCACCTGCTACTGCAGGAGAAGCAAGAGGCGCAGATTTGATGCCTGGGTGGGGAAGATCCCCTCGAGGAGGGCATGGCACCCCACTGCAGTACGCTTGCCTGGAGAACTTCATGGGCAGAGGAGCCCAGCAGGCTACTGGAAGGTGATATTGACGCTTTTTCCTTTTTTTCCTTTCAAATAGGAGAAACCTAAGCCAAAGTTTAAATTCTGATGGGAAGAACACGCTAGAAAGCCACACATAGGCGCTACAGACAAGAGGGGACAACTGCCAGACCAAAGCCTCAGGGAAGGGGCAGAAGAGCAGCAGAAGGGGTTGGGGCTCCTGCTCTGCTGGGCAGGACAGTGAGGGGCAGGGAGGCATACACAGGGAGGAGGGCTTCAGTTGGGTGGCTAGGTCTGGGGGACCCTTACTTGCTCTGGGAAGTAGGAGGCAGGGCATCTTTGGAGAATGAAGGATAAGTAACTTGGGAGAAAGCCTGGGAAGGGAGTCCTGCTTGGCACTGAGGGCCCCTTGCAGAGACAGCCTGGTGGTCCCCCCAGGGGGTTGGCTCCGAGCCTCCCCTCTCTTCCTTTGCTTCGTCCACCCTTGAGCCAAGGAACCCCTGGGAGTTATCCATCTGGACAACACTTCCAAAAAGGAGGGCCGGGAAGGGAACTGCTAGTGCCAACAACAAAGGAACCCTAGCTTTAATTTTGACATGATAAGAACAGAGAGAAGGACTGACATGGCAAAGATCCGCAGTCTTCCACTGCAAAGAGCTACAGGAGAGACTCAGGAGGAGAAGGGCTGCTACCAACAAGAGGGTCTCAGGCAGTTTAAAGGACGGGGTAAGGCCAAGAGCTCTGAAATTAGACTGACCGTCTACTACATGATAAAGGCAGGACTAGAACCCATTCACTTTTTCATATAGCAAATAACAATGGATTCTCTGCTATGTGTTAGACACCGATGTAGGTGCTAAAAGCCCAGCCATGACCAAAAGAAAGGCAGAACTCTTCTGGGGTTTATACTCTGGTGGGAGCAACAGACACTAAGCAAAGACATATACACCAGTGTGGATGGTGGCAAGCGCTATAGAGAAAGCTTAAGCAAAGCAAAGTTGGGAGTGTGGGGGTAGGAAGGGGGTGGATTTTTAATGGAGGAGGATCTGGGAAGGCTTCGAGATGACCCAGATTTTCAGACTTTATTCTATGCATGTTCTTATTTTTTTAATTTTATATAATGACAGCCCTTTTCTTTGGTGCTTTTCTTTTTAGCATTTGGAGCCAAGCGTGAGCAGAACGGTGGTGAGACTGTGGATTTTCACACCAGTTGTCTACTTGCTTGTGAGGTACAGCCCCACCTCCTCCTTCCTGTGTGACACTGGGCACTGGGCGTTCCATCTCTCTAGCCCTGGGGTTTCTCTGTCTGCAAAGAGGGGCTAATAATAAATCCCCCACAAGTTTGCTGTGAAGATAAAATGAGACTGTGTATGCAAAGTGCCTGGCTTTTAGTACGCTAGCAGGAACAGGAGTGGTCAAACTCAGCTTCATGAGCTGTAGCTCTCCTTAGGAACACATTCTGTGTGCTTAGGTTTTAACGGTGGGTATTCCCAGGCCCTGTCCCTGGGCGTCCCGGCTCCCTGACACCTACGCCAACGATTCTCAGGGATCTGCCTCTCTTCACCCACACTTTGTGCCCTGCTTCTGCCTATAATTTGGGTGATACATGAAGCTGCAGCAAACTAAAAAGTGGAATTTTTTTCAAATGTTTGCATCTCTCATATTGCCATGAATCTTAAGAGTTGATGGCATTTTATAATTGATAGACTCTTTTCTTTTGTAGTTGCATTTTTTTTTAATTTGTTAAAAAGTGATTCTAGAATCCATGGTGCTTAGGCATGACAAGTATAATGAGTCACAATAAACCACAACCAACTGGTACCCCCAGAGTTCCCACTGTGACCTAGGCATTGATTGTTTTAATGAACAGGATCAGCAGAGCACAGCAGAATGAATAAAAAAGGTGCTGGATCCAGAATCTATGAAATCCCCCCAGTTTTTTCTAGAGGTGACACATAGTACACCCAATAGTGAAAGGTCTATGTGGTGAGAGAAACTTGGAAAAGTTCCATTGATGGGAGATATCACCATGCCAGAGACCTCAGGTTTTATTCTACTCACTCTTGAGTCTAAATGTAAAAACTTTTGAACCTACAGTTCCAAAGAGAGTATAACAAACACCCACGTGTTCCTCATTCAGATTCACCAATTGTTACCAGTTTGCATATTTACTTCCTTCTCTCTCTCTCTCTCTCTATACACACACACACACACACACACACCCCTTTCTCTATATATAGCTATATATATAACACACACACTATTTTGTTGTTCAGTTACTCAGTCATGTCTGACTGTTTGTGACCCTATGGACTGCAACACACCAGGCTTCCCTGTCCTTCACCATCCCCTGGGGTTTGCTCAGACTCCAGTCCATTGAGTCAGTGATGCCATCCAACAATCTCATCCTCTGTCGTCCCCTTCTCCTCCTGCCTTCCTCCTTTCCCAGCATCAGGGTTTTTTTTCTAATGAATTGGCTCTTTGCATCACATTATTTTAATTATTTCTATTTACTTTAAATTTATTTTCAGCGGAGTCATTTAAGAGTTTCTTGCTGATGTCAGGACACATCACTCATAAAAACTTCAGCACTTCCAAGAACAAGGCCCTCCTGCCACAAAGCCAGAGTGCAGCAATCACATTAGGAATGTTAACACAAACAGAACATGACTACATAATATCCAGTTTCTCCAGTGGTCCCAAGAATGGCCTTTCTAGCTGGACCAGTGCTGTTGAAATGAGAGGACATTCCTGCTGGAGTTTTTTTGTTTGTTTGTTTGTTGACTTTTTGCAGTTTTCTACACACTCAAATAAATGTCCTCCTGTCGATTAATTCATTTGATAAGAGAAAAATAAATGCACTCCCACTAGAATTGAGGAAAAAGAAACAAGAATTTTTTAAGGCTTATTTATAATTTCTCAAGATATGCATGCTAATGCATTCATTTTTAACAGAACTAGATCTATACCTGTCTACTCTCTAACAAGACCAGCTTTCTAAGAAGTGGACAAGTGGTATCAGTAGATTTCTTTTTGACTCTAAATCCGTAGTCTGTGATTCCTCAGAAATACCACCGTGTTTAGAGTGTGGGCTCCTTCAGGTTAAGCTTGTGGATCCTGTCACAATCATCTTTTCATCCTTAGTAACTGTACTGCAGCTGGTGCATAGTACGAACTCGGTGAACGACAGTGTGAATGAGCGAGTGAATGCTTTTTCTGGCTCCTCAGGGCAGGCTCCGCGCCACATCTCTGCCAGTTTGCAGATATAAGTTCCCTTTACCAGTTTGGCTGTAGTTTAATAAGATGCCACAGAAAAAGGGACCAGACCTTGGTCCTGACTCAGCAGAGGCAAGGTCTTATTGGAACTGCAACAAACCTGAACGATGGCAGGTTTTAACTGCAAATACACGGAGAGACTGGGAACCCACAGGAAGTGAGAGCATTTGCCCTGCACACCTCCATGCCTTCTTTGAAATAGAAACCTTGTGTTAGGCTGCAGATGGTGAGATCTACGGCAGGCTAGAGACTCTTCTTTTAAAAAATAGTCCACTCAGTTTCCCTCTGGGCTTTAGGGTCAGGTCCCCATTCTTGGGACCTGTCCAGCTATATGAGTGAAGAAGAGAGATGAATGCTTTTCACTATAGTCTCAAACCTCACTGGGCCAGGGTCTCCCTGTGGTCAAATATGGCTTCTTACTGATTAAGGGAAGAGGAAGGAGGGAGGAAGGGCGTTTTTGTTCAAGGTACTTTCAATCTTATATCATCTCATCCTTGAAGGAATCACACGAGGTCAATACATACAGATAAATTAGAACTGTATGGATCGTCTCAAAGCTACTAACGGTACACTATGTGGTTGCTTATATTTAAGAAATAACTTCTTGTTTGATCCAAACAAATATACTCTCCCAACAAGCTCTGAACTGATAACTGAAATTTTCTCATTATAGACATAGTACAGGCTTTCAGAGGGTTGTGCTTTTTTTTTTTTTTTTAACTCCTTCTTTGTTGTAGTTCAATCACTTAGTTTTGTCCAATTTTTTGTGACCCCCCATGGACAGCAGCACTCCAGGCTTCCCTGTCCTTCACCATCTCCCGGAGCTTACTCAGACTCATGTCCATTGAGTTGGTGATACCATCCAACTATCTCATTCTCTGTTGTCCCCTTCTCCACCTGTCTTCAATCTTTCCCAGCATCAGGGTCTTTTCTAGTGAGTCAGCTGTTCGCATCAGGTGGCTAAAGTATTGGAGCTTCAGCTTCAGCATCAGTCCTTCCAATGAATATTCAGGGTTGATTTCCTTTAGGATTGACTGATTTGATCCCGTTGCAGTCCAGGGGACTCTCAAGAGTCTTCTCTAGCATCTTCTTTACCATTTATTTTACTTTATTTTCTACGTATTTTATGCTTATTTATTTACTGCAATTTATTCAATAACATCTAAATGTATGAACACTGCAAAGAAAAAAAAATTCCAACAGTTTAAGTTGAAAACCCTCCTGATTTCTTCTCTTTAATTCCTCTGCAAAAGTGCCTGTTCTCCCAGGTATGTGGATTCCTCTAATCCTTTCTCTGGATGTTTACATACAGGTGAAGCAGCAGAAACATGGCAAGAATTGGGGACCTTAACCACCCATGCTTTTCTGTCTCACTTTTTGCTCTTAATGTGTCTTGGAAATCTTTCCTCACTCAAGGAATTTCAAAGGTGACCTTAGCCAATGGTTTGTCATTGGGCTCCCCAGGGCCCTTGGGATCCTGTAAGGGGTCCTCACAGGATGCCCCAAGGAGTAGCAAGCCAAACAGCTCCAGGCTCCCGACCCTGCTCCAGCCAGGAGGCCTCCCATTGAATCTTCTTGACTTTGTTGATTTCCATATAATTTTTTTTCATTTTCTTTGGCTGTGCTAAATCTTCTTTGCCGCTCAGGCTTTTCTCTAGCTGCAGCAAGTGAAGTGAAAATTGTTCAGTTGTGTCCAACTGTTTGCGACACCATGGACTATACAGTCCATAGAATTCTCCAGGCCAGAGTACTGGAGTGAGTAACCTTTCACTCCTCCAGGGGATCTTCCCAACCCAGAGACCGAACCCAGGTCTCCCGCATTACAGGTGGATTCTTTACCAGCTGAGCCACCAGGAAAGCCCAAGAATACTGGAGTGGGTAGCCTATCCCTTCTCCAGCGGATCTTCCTGACCCAGGAATTGAACTGGGGTCCCCTGCATTGCAGGCGGATTCTTTACCAGCTGAGCTACCAGGGGAGCCCCTAGTCGCAGCAAACTGGGGGCTACTCTCTAGTTGCAGCAAACGGACTTCTCATTACAGTTGCTTCTCTTGCTGAGAAACGCAGGCTCCAGAGCATGCAGGCTTCAGTGGTTGTGGCTCCCAGCCTCAAGCGCACAGGATCAGTAGCTGGGCTGCTCTGCAGTGCACGGGATCTTCTGGGACCAAGGGCTTGATTGATTCCTTCATTGGCAGGAAGATTCTTTACCAGTGAGCCACCAGAGAAGCCCCCATATAAACTCTAATTAAAAAAATTTTTGTGTGTTACTTTTAGAAAGGGAGTGAGAAGAACTAATCTAGCTCAGTTCTGTTGTCTTTGCATTCTGCTAAGATCTAAATACTTTTGAACAGAGTCAGATAGGCAGTCTCAGGCTTCATTGGCTTATAAATATGCATATATATATTTTTTTTTTTTCTGAAAACAATTTTAAGACAGAAGTGGAGGGAAATACTGAATTGCCTCGATTTCCCCAATATGATCAGTCTTTAGAAGGCCAGAGACAGAAAGGACTGGGAAAGGACAGGGCTGGAAGCACACAGATTCCCTGGCCACTTTCTCCCTCCTCCATGAAGGACTATAGCCATGTGTTCATCTCGGGTCTTATATATTTCTGTGTGTATGTTTCTATGCATCATCTGTACAACAGGAAAATCACAACTTACATGCCCCTGAATCTTCCCTGGGTTTTCTCTAAGTCCTAGATTCCCAAACTTTCTCTTCTGCTGGGTCCAAACTCAAATCCCTTTGAATGGTCAACACTGTACTCGTACCTGCAAGGAATGGGAACAAATCTGACCAAACAGGCCTGCTCCAACCTATGGGAAATATTCTTTCTGACCGGGGCGAACTGACCCTCTTAAAAATCTCTGAATCAAAAACCATCACTAAAACACTAACGTGCAAGAGATGCCAAGAATCTTTTTTCTTTAAGTAAAAGTGAAAGTGTTAGTCACTCAGTCTTGTCCAACTCTTTGTGATCCCATGGACTGCAGCCTGCCAGGCTTCTCTGTCCATGGAATTCTCTAGGCAAGAATACTGGAATGGGTTACTATGGCCTTCTCCAGGGGATCGTCCCGACCCAGGGATTGAATTTGGGTCTCCTGAATTGCAAGGCAGACTCCTAACAGTCTGAGCCACCAGAAGTAAAGTTCCCCTCTAATTGTCAAACTCAAAGTTATTTGCAAAGTCAAGTTGTTGGAGAACATCTCCCCAGTTCGAAAACCCGAGCAAGTTGCTGAGTCCTTCTAAAGCTCAGCATTCTTATCCACCTAATGAAGANTTTGGGGGGGGGGGTGTCACCCTGTGTGGCATGCAGAATCTTAGATGCTCAACCAGGGATCAAACCCATGGCTCCTTCTTTGGGAGAGTGGATTCTTAACCATTGGAATGGCAGAGAAGTCCCTTGAATTTAATAATCATCAATCTCATAAGGTTGCTGTAAGGAGTAATGAGATGCTGAAATTCTAGCTCAGTGCCTGACACAGACTATTATGGGTTGAACTGTGTGCTCCCAAAACACATATGTTGAAGTCCCAGTCCCCAGAACCTCAGAATGTGACCTTATTTGGAAATCGGGTCACTGCAGATATAATTAGTTAGGTTAAGATGAGGTCATACTGGAGCATGGTGAGCCTTTAATCCAATATGACTGGTGTCCTTATAAGAAGTGGAAAGGAACACACAGGGAGAAAACAGCCCTGTGATAACAGGCAGAGTTTCTTTAACAAATGGTGTTGGGAAAACCTGATAGTCACGTGCAAAAGAATGAAGTTGGGTTTAATTAACTCAAAATGAATTAAAGACTTTACACATTAAACTAAAACTATAAAACTTCTGTACTAGAACAAGGCGGAGAGCTTTATGACATTGGATTTGGCAATGATTTCTTGGATATGACACAAGAAGCACAAGCAACAAAAGCAAAAATAAACAGGACTACATCAGACTTTAAAATTTCTGCACAGTGTAAGAAACAATCCACAAGGGGAAAGGTAACCTACAAAATGGGAAAAAACAAGTGCAGATTGTTTATCTGATTATCTGATATCAGGTTAATAACCAGAATATATAAAAATTCTTACAACTCAATAACAACAAAAAAATCAACTCCATGTAAAGATGGGCAAAAGACTTGAGCCGACTTTTCTACAAAGAAGATATACTAATGAATAGCAAGAATATAAAAGATGGTCAACATTACTAATCATTAGAAAATTATAAATCAAAACCATAATAAGATATTATCTCACATCCTTTGGTTAGGGCACTTTCAAAGAATAGAAATTATAATAAAATAAGCAAAGATACAGAGAAATTGGAATTCTTGTGCACTGTTGGTGGAAATGTAACCCATGTAAAATGCAGCCACTGTGGCAAACAGTGTGAAGGTTCTTTGAAAATCTGAAAACAGAATTACCATATGGTCCAACAATCCCACTTCTGGATATGTCCAGGAAAATTGAAAGAAGGTTCTCGAAAAGATATTTGCACATCTATATTCATTGCAACATTATTCACAATAGCCAGAAGGTAGAAGCAGCCCTAATGTCTACAGACAAATGAGAGGATAAAGA